AGGACTAAACGTGAGAACAAATGACGATTACGGAATTGTTCGGCAGGATTGCGGCAAGAATCTGTCACTCGTGCTAAGCGGAAAAAAAGAAACGCGTGAGTCGCAAAGTTACAATGTTTTAATAGAATATAGGAAAAGGTCCACGACATTTACAGTTAATATCGTCGTAATAAGTCAGGGGGCCGACCCGCAGAGTTTTCGTCAAAGGTTTTTTCTATTTCAATCGGTCATCAACCTACTACTACTGGTAGGAAAAGGCAGCCGGAGACGAACTCACTCCGCTCCTCCTGACACCACGCCCGTCTAACTGCAACGATATCAACTATATGTGCGTCAATAGCGATGATTAAAGAATAAAAATAAATCACTGACATGGCACTGTTTTACTGTACAAGTTGTCTCGAATAACAGTTTGCAGCTCCGCCCACTGTTTATCACCGAGAATTTCGCATATGTCGTCCGTTATAGCACCTGTAATAGTCGAGGGTTGGGCGTCGAAAGATTTGTGGGTGCGAGAATTGTGGACGAGGGTAGAATTACACAGAATAAAATATGATGCCATGCCGTGTGAGCTTGACCACTCCAAGGAAATGTCTAGCTCTCAGAATTGAAATAAAGGTGGAGAAGATACGTTCTAAATGAAAACGGTACCAACCAGCTGGCACGATCTCAATGGCAATTTGATTCGTTTTCATGGCCACAACTTCTCCCAAAACGTCGGGTCACTTCAGTTCTCAGCATGCCACTGACCTGGCTGTAATAACGGTACAATTTATTCATTTTTCTCTGAGGATGGCCTCATGCTTAAAAATGTTTTAATAGTTTATGAGCGGAGCAATTTTGTAAGATGAGAACATTAACGAATAAATATGTAGTCATGAAGGAGTAGGCCACTTTCCAAATTTTTCATTTTTCGTTGAAAAAGGCCACTCCTGCCATTTCCACCTCTTTCATAACATGTTTGGCACCCAATGTGCTAGCTCAGAAGACGAGGGCCTGTGCGGCCCAGCAAGACTGCAAGCCTGTGAATCGATCTGATCTTTGATACGACCTGCGCATGGCGGCGAACAGCCTGGCCACTATTTGTACTCCAGCCCCGGGCCACTATCCTGATTACGAACGATAAATTCACGTCTGGTACTGGCGTTGTCTGACGCCAACATGGGTCCACAACATTTCCCAAAACTCAGTGAACCTGCCGGCGAAGTTTGGCGACGGGAGGAGGGGGCATTCTGCTCTTTCGCCATTATCGAGCCAACTAGAGCAGCGCTATCGAGAGTTTACAGGTTATCATGGTAGCTCGGACAAGCTTGTTCTCGCTACTTAAGAGTTCACAGGTTTCACCACAGTGAGACTTGTATACCGGAACTAGTGAAGCTGCGAAAGCACAAAATGCCCCCCCCCGTCGCCGAACAGCGCCAACCTGCCCTGAAGGGTGATCAAAGTACCTCGCCACTCTTACTCATTGTTGGCCTCGGCGCATGTGTGCTACGTATACTAGTGACCAGGGCACTAGATAACCTTTACAGACGGCGTTCCCGCCAGAGGCTGCGAGACCGTAGCGTTATAACACAATAGTGCTAAAAATAAATGAACAAATATCGTAGATGAATAGTACTCACACATCTTCGATCTTCAGAATGATGTCGTTGGGAGATAATATCCCTATGAGGTCCTCACGTTTCACAATATCCACAAGGATCAGCCGCGCAGCGGCCGCACCACCGAAAACTGTGAAGGGAATGACGCTGCTGAAAAAGGTAGATTAGGTAAAATAAAGGCTTCGAACTCGATTTCACAGATGAATCAATATCTGTATCGAGTTAACTACTTACTGGGATTCTGCTACGTTACAGGAATATTTCAATGAAAGACGAACGTAGCTAGGAGTAAAAGAACAGGCTACCCAAAGAATACTAAACTACGGGAAGAAGGCTTGAAGTTGTTTCACGAACTTGCACCTTCCACCGACCAGGCTGGTGTACTAGCCATTTCACTTTCACCAGTTTTTTTTTTGTAAGCGCGCACCTTACAACTATCTGCTGTCATCTACATAGTGATGACGCAGCGATGACAAATTGCAATACGACAACGGCAAAATGAAAGATAAGACGAAAAGAATAGGAGGATAGGAGATCAGAATGACAAGGAAGAGCAGTGGAAAGGTCATTTGAGTGTATAGAGTAGGTTTTTCGATTCGGGCTGCTTGCAGCTGGACTAAATTTACAACATTTACACTTGGGACAACGTTAGACTATGGATCTACATAGCGGATTTCGTTTAAGCGTGCAAAATCAACTCGCACTTTCAGTAATTAATTCACTTTCAGTAATTAATTCACTTTTGACTTATTTCTCCAGTATCGCTTTCTCGAAAAGAGTATCAGATTAGACCTATGAAGCGATGTGCACCTCGTTCCCACATGTACCCTATTCCCTGGAGTGACCACAGCCTGTGTTCCTTCGAGCCATTAAATTCTTTCAAATTTGTGGCGCACGCTTCCATTAAAGGCAGTAGGCACGATGGTTTCCTACTTAGCCTAAAATGCTAGTAGGGCGCTGTATAGTGGGGAAATGGCGAAAGAACGGAGTGAAACGGTCAAAATCCTGCGAAGAAAAAGCCTCCGTTCTCAGTGACTTGTAAATCGATTTCGGACGAGTTTCCCGTAGGCATCTTACCAATCACCGCTACCGAAGATACGGCTGCATATGTGTACCCATGTATGCATGCAGCATCACGGCCGCTTCACCAATCCCTTCGCTTCATAATTTGCTTAGCAAATGAATGAATACGAGCGTCAGGAACGGTCGTCCATTTGTGGGCGGGCGGGCGTGGGGCGTTTGGGTCGGTATGTTGTGGCTTGATAGGGCCCTTAAGGGCACCTTCCTCGGGAAACCGCTATGCAGCGCCTGCCCAGGGTCGCGGAATTCTATCCTGCCAGGAGTATTGATCCTAGTCGCCTTGGGGGATTTATCGTGCCAACTGCCTTTAAGGATAAAAAGGATGAAGCTTAGGCCTTTGAACAATACCTTTCTGGGAAGTGGCACGCATTTCACTCCCATTGAATGTCGTAGCAGCTTACTGAATGCCTTAGGCCGATACAGTTAAGGTTCAAGTCAGCGTTTTTGCCCTTTCTGACGAATCCAGTGCAAGTTTGTCCTCCTCTGAGGGCAGAAGGCTTCGTTGGCCTGGGTAGGGGCAAATCCTGGATTGGACGTACGCATCGCGCCTATGGTATGCGGGTGGGCCATCGTCCACTACATCACCTCCGTCTTCCTCACATATTGGACAGTTACTATTGGATGCATAACTTTTTGAAACAGTAGGGACTATTTTTGAAGTCAAACTAACATGAGGTGAATCAAATCATGGTATTATAAGGCATTATAGAGAAATGGGGCAAAAGATGGTCAAGGATATCGCGTCACATATAAGCCACCCGTATGTACCACCTTTGCTTTTAGGTATGTAGCAGCTTCTGAACCACCAGCATGAGCTCCATTATCCACGGCTTCGAGAGGCCATAAAAAGGCACTAAATAGGCGTGGCTCATATCCTGAGCTATACCGTTTTTTAACTGGGCATAGTTTACTGAAGCTGCTTCCAAACCACTACTGGATTTTAGCGCCTTGAGCGAAACCTAGTGAAGAATTTCTCCTGCGAATTGCGATTCTATCAATTTGTCGTTTAACTGTCGTCACCAACTTTTGACTACCACATACGCAACTACTGGTTGCATCACTATTGAGGTCACTGTTCGTTTCTGAAGCTGTTTCGTTATGATAACTGCTTGACTGTTTAACGTCGCAGTACGCGTTCCGGATGTTATTAAAAGTCCTGAGTTGTTGGCAAAAGTCGTGCCCCAGGCGGGTGTCGAGCCCGCACCTCACGCTTTCCGGACGAGTGCGCTATCCGTTACGTTCAACTTGGTCACCAAGTTAAACGTGTGAGAGCTGTAAGGCTACGGCATAAAAGCCGTTAAGCTGAGAGGGTAAAAGCGGCCCTGGTGGCGTAACGGATAGCGCACTCGCCCGGAAAGCGTGAGGTGCGGGTTCGACTCCCGCCTGGGGCACGACTTTTGCCCACAACTCAGCACTTCTTGTGATAACTGTTCGTTTCATTTATCGCCGTCCTATACCACCGCCCCTCCTCTTAGGGAAGGTCGTTATGTCGAAGTGGCCATTTGTAATGAGATGTAGCTCACTAGACGTGGTTTTGGACGCTGATCTCGAATCTGCCTTCGAAATTTGCAGAACGATTCTCTGAACGGAGTTATGGAGCTTTTTCCTCCGCGTTTACCACGCAACAGGTCACGGGATCGGATCCCTGCTGTGCTTACCTTTTTTGCTTTTTGCATGGCAAAAAGTGGTTTTGACGTCACTACTACAGCAGTGGTCACCTAAACTTGCCTGATTGTGAGTAAGAGTTTGCGTGCAGTTGTTACTGAAAACGCCCGTCAATTCGTATCAAAACCCTTTCGCCCAACCGCGGGCTCTTCGCCCAACCGCCAATCGATACATATCGAAAGCTTTTCGCCGGAGCGTCTTCTTTCTAAAGAAACGCTGGGCCGCAGACTGTGAACAATGCCTTATTGTCACGAATTGGCTGGCAACCGCGCTCGACTCCTTGCCCCTTCATTCGAACAAACCTTCATAAGTAAGTACAGTCCTGCAAATTTCGAAGACAGATTTGGAATCAGCGTTCAAAAACATTCATGATGTCAATGCGTCTCGTTACAAACGGCCACTTTGACCTGACGACCATCCCTGGTTAGTCGAACGGTACCTACATCTGAGAAAAATACATGCGACAACGACCAGAGTCCAGGCCAAGAGTCAGCAGCAGTTTAAACAAGGAGAAGAAGAAAATTGTTCTATGCACCAGTCCATCAAGTTTAAACGATGACCATAAACTTTAAACGAGGGCGGAAGAAAAGCATAAAGAATGGTCAACATGGAAAAAGAAAGACGTTCAAAATGATTCTGAAGGTCTCAAAAATTTCACCTTTGTTGGGCTGAATCAGACAAGGCAGTCGTTGTCTTGCCACAGGGCACTCGAACAAGACGTTTCATCGCCAAGCCAGAAACTGAATACGTACACATCATAAATTACCAGGACCACTACTAAGAAGGCAATGACCATGCAACAAGGCACTAAGGACCCAAAGAAAGATGTTACTCAAAACAACTATATTTTATGCAAATATTATGGTTGTCCCGTAACCTTTGCACCAAAGTTTACTTTTCTTTTCAAATCAATATAACATTGTTGTTCTTCAATCCCCATCACTGTCACAGAGACCATAATTTCCCACATATGTTCGGAGCTCCACTACACTATCAACTACAGAAGCCTGCAGCTCTGCCGACTGGAAGTCAAAAACGGGCGAAATCTCTTCCTAGTTCTTTTTTTCCTACCGATTTCTTTCTCACTGATAAGTTCTGTCGTAGCGCAGCTGTAGTACCGGAAATGAACGATAACCTGAACGCTATGTTAGGAAAATAACGAGGGTGTGGTCGAAATTTCCATCCAATCTCGACAACTTCTTGGCGATTAAGGATTGTCATGTGAGCCCGAACATTGCAGAAGTGGAACGACACTGTCAGTTTTCTTACGCTTCGAGCGAACTGCGCGTCAGCCATTTTCTACAACTGGGAAAGATAGATTTCTGCCGACCTCGCATTCCACAATGCAGCACTTCATACTACGGCACTTCATAATCTCAGTTCTCACCGACAACAGGGAGATCTTTGTAGAGTTCTTCTCATTGGGGTTGCATTGTCGGCAAGAGCCAGTGCTGTGCTGCGGTTGGATACGGTTAGAGACAACCCTGCAATGAAATACTGTGAGTAGTGTGTTCGATACCGATACAGTCTATAAGCGCTAATGGTAAGTGACCCACGGAAGAAAAATAAACAAAGAAACATCATGGAGAAACACCCTAAGTGAGCCTCTCTAGATATGTTCTCCGGACCTGCTCATTTTGTGCCAGCAGAGCGATATCCTGCAACCTCTGGCTCACTTATCGTTTCTTCGCGTCATCTAGTAGTAATCCCATTTAACAGTGGAAAAAAAAAAAAAAACAATGAAAAAAACTAAGCGCGTGATAAAAGATACCCCCTAAGGTTTTAGGGGCGGGGCAACTAGGGAGGCGTCAGGACTGCCACTTATGAAGACCGCAGCGCCTTCGTTACTCTATGTGAAGCTGCGAACTCGGGTAGTCTTAAAGAAAGAGGGTCAGACTATTTGTTTAACGGACTCCTCTCGCTGGTTGTGAAGCACTAATACTGTGGGAATCCGAATCGAGACCACTTTCCCACAGCTCTGAGGCATCTGGCGATGCACAGTTCCTGGCGGCTTATCCGGGTTTATCCGAGGGAGCGCCACGCAGAGCTCCGTCACTGAAGTCAATCGGGCGAAAGTTGCGGGTCGACCTCTGCGCGGAATTTTTTCTGACCCAGACCGTAGGACTGAACGATTATCAGTCCAGCGGAGTACAACCTGAATCTCTGTTGAACACAGCACAGATACAAGGGGGGGGGGGGCACAGGATGTGATATGGCCTTTTACAAATATGTAGTACACGACGACTCAAGTTTGGCTTGACGTTCATTGAAGTCTCTGATATACCGGCAGAATGCGCGCCTGCTTTGGACTAGAATAATCTACCATATTTCATTGCAAAAAAAACGTTGTGTCCTTTAAAATTCTAGATGTAAATCTAGAATTCTAGAAGTATATTTTGGTGCATGACTTCGGGGACAACCTTGTAGAGCCGTTACAAGATTCAGAAATGAAATCCCGAATTGAAATCAAAGAAAGAAATACCTCCATGTTTGCCAGAGGGGTTTTCGCTGGATGCGTTAAGATGTTCAGCACTACCGGATGCCACTCCATGTTCCCTGCCAGATGAACCTGAACACAAGTTTTGAGTTCTTGGTAAATCACTGGAGGAGAAAGCAAAGTGTGCTGCTAGTGCTTTCCCAGATATTCATGTCTACGTGCAAGGTACTACTTTAAGCACAGTAATGAATGACTATGATGCCAGCTTGACTAAACAAACTCGCGCTAATAACGAATTTTTGGGACACTGTGTATCCTTTCTCCTCGGAGTAAGCACCAAAATAAGTACCTGTTTCTCGACCTGATGACGCTAACGACGTCGATGGGCTGCGAGGGCACTCCAGCATACGATCCAAGGCCAACTGAAAAACTTCTTTCAGATAGTTCAAGCAAAGCGAAGCAGGGTTGAGGAAAACGAAAACGAAGTATATTGAATACTGCAACAACGAAGGAGGATTTTGAGTAATTCAAGAAATATTTTGAAGAGCAGTGGAATAATCCAACAGATAATTAAACTGTGACACTTCTCACTCAATTACCGCTGTTTCTGAGTATTGCCAGTTTGCGGATAGCTAATTCAGCACCTTCAGATGGACATACAAAGCGTCAAACCGAACAGCAGGCACTCGGGTATTCATGTTTTAAGATGCTCACTCCCTGCCCACTTCTTATAGCCTCTGCGAACGAATGAGATGGTTAGCCATATTTGATTGCGAACCAGTTAGAACCAAGACTCGATGCTCAAGTGGCCATAACATTTTTCGTTTACAACTTCAATTTCGAATTAATGGTCTAATTTGTTCACGATTAGATGTTCCTCAAGGCTGTCTGGGGGAGGATTTCATGGGTGGGAACTTTCAGAATGAGATATGGAGTATACAGGCCGTAGATGCTCCATGAGGGACACCTATAAAAGCTGCAAGATAAGAGGAATTTCCATAAAGCAGCGGAATTCGTCGTTTCATACGCTAGCCAATAATATGTAAACAGGGTAAATGTAACTGATTGCAAGGAAATCAGGCTAGGGGTCATAATAACAAACAAACAATAATGCGGATAATAATAATAATAAATAATAACAATAATAATTAATAACAATTTAATAAATAAAATTTAAATTAATAACGATAATAATAAAACAATAATCGTAAAAAGGAGAAGAAGAGGAAGAAGAAGAAAAAAGGAAGAAGAGAAAGGAGAATAACTGTTCTGTGCCTGAAATTTCTCAGCAAAGATCGGGGATCGGGGAGCATAGTTTCTAAGAGAACTATCATAAACAGCTCTAAGTCCGATCCCGCCGAAGGCGTTAAACCTGCGGTTGCAGAAACTGCCAAAAATGGTGTCGATACTAGATCAGCGTAAGACAGGTTAGTCGATGGAGACCGGTCAAAAAGCAAATATATAAAGTAGTCGCTGCCAAGTAGAGTCACTATATTTATTATGATTCTATTTATTTATTGGAAACGCACTCTAGGGCGCCATTTACGGAAGAAAATAAAACCTCACTTCCCATCATATATTTTTCTGAATATCTTGTCCACCTCCCACCTTACTCTGAAGCTCAAAAGGAGTAATACAGCAGGATGTAGGATTGCCAGAAAGTTAATCATTTATTAGAAATTTTAATTAGATTTTTCATACACTCTACCAGTAACTTGGATTTATATCTGGCGACCGACAACAGGACAGGGCATTAAGAGAAAGGAAGTCAGCCCTCCCACGCAAATAACCGTTGCTCCTTTTCGGGGCTCTGCGTTTTTCGCCCTTGCGCTGTGCCTCCGTGCAAAAAAAATTGCAAAAAAATTCTGTGGGCCTAGCCCCCGCGCCCTTTATAACACTTTGCTCCGTTGGTCAGTCACGTAGCGTATCAGCGTGCAGCCCGTTTTCCTCCTTTCACCAGCGGTGTTTGCTAGGCGTTTGCTCAGCGCAGAGGAGCTGAGCACCTTATATATCTAGGAAGTGAGCTCTGGAGCGGTCCCATAACAAACACCATCGATTGTGCGTCTCTCACTCGCCCTCAGTCTCTACTATACACATCGATTGCGCGTCTCTGACGGCCACATAGTCTCTACAATACACTTCGATTGCGTCTCTTACTCCCCTGCTGCTGCAAACGCCAGCAAAACGCTGCGTGAAACGCTAGCGAAAACGTTAGCGTAGGTGACCGATGCGCGCGAACGCGTAGATCGACATGCCATTCCTCTCCCCTGGCACTGCCGCTGGCGTACGCTGCGCAAGCGCTACGCTACGACCGTGCTGCCGCAAGTATAACGCAGCCAAAGCTGGCGCTTTGATGTAAATATGAACCCCGGGTGTAAAACCCAGGCCCAAGTAACCAGTTGGATAAACGAAGCGGTACCTGTTTATACTCTTCAACAAAGTTGGCTTATATTTCATAATTATGGGGGAACCATTTCTGAAATTCACATTTCTAGAACAGGTACACAGCTGGCAGTTTCTCTTGTCTTACACGGGGAGATTTCCTTTTACAATTTTCAAAGAGTTATGCTAATATGGTCGCTGTGTCTCTTAACTTTGGCTTTTGCAGAGGTCGGGGTGAAGTTACATTTACAGAACATACCCTACTGCTGTTCTTCGCTAGCAAAAATAGGCAGAGTGAAGTTAAAGCGCGAAGTTCAAACGTAAGCCCATACCACAAAGAAATTTCTGCTCGTGAATGCAATAAGTCGTTAAAAGTGACTTGATGAAATGAAAAGCCGATTGTTTCCGCATAAATTAGCGTAAACTATCTCGATTTGATCTCACAAAATTTCTCCAGCTTTCCATGCAAATATAAGATCGCCTACGGAATAGCTAAAAGTAGGGTCACCAAGAACTGAAGAACTAGTTGCACATTGCAATGTGGACGGAACCTAACGGCACAGTGTTGGAAAGAAACGAGCGTGGTAAACAAGTCTGTGATGCAATATCAATAAAAAGTATCTGGGCATAGAACAATTTTCCAATATTTACAAGGACGGCCTAATTAAGGCAAAAGTTGTATGATAACTGTAATCGATGCAGATGTTTCTTCGAAAGTATTTTCAAGAGCGGAAGTGCTTTGATTGGGTAGATACATTTACTTTTAGGGAGTTAAAATTGGTATTTCAAGGACGGCTAATATTGCACCTCTGCAACTTCTGACAACGGGTGGTCTAGACTGAATCCTGTTTGTAGGTTCTGCAGCGGAAGACCGTCTTCCAGACTAGCTCCCACGTACCCATGGACCATGTGGAACAGCTTCATGAAATTTTCTAGTGTATGTGGAAAGTAATCGCAGGAACAAAGCTTTTGCATCGAAGTTCTAGCCCTCTAGCATTGCTTTGGCGTATGAGCCTTGTAGCGTCAGAACACAATTCTTAAAAATAGAATGAAATGGCGCTGTCGCCAATGCGTCAACCTGAAAAAAGAATGAGAAAGGGAAAGTATAGGAGTGGAACGAGAATTGCCACACTGAATGAATGATGGATCCTTGACGACAATTCCCGCGATCAAGTGTTACAGGTAGTAGGTGCTCAGTCACGAAACAGTAACCCATAAGTAACTCGAGTGGAGAAAGAACCGAAGGAGACCTTGGGAACACCCTGAATAGAGACCCCCCCCCTTAGCAGTGGCGCCTTGGACGAGTTTGTCAGATGTCAGGTGAGCCCAATCAGCAGTATTCGACGTGCAAGCGATTCCCAGAAAGAACCACAGAAAATCACCCTACGACGCTCCAGGCAACGCTATGTACACACGCAATTCCGCTTGTAAGCCGTTGTCTTGCAGAGTGAAAGTAATCGTGGTTGCAATGGTTGCAATAATCACGCGTCTCCAGCTTCTTTATCTCGTCTTTTCGAGTGACGAAAGCGGTACATTCTTTGCGAGTGCGGGAACTGCCAAATACACGGAGAGGCGCTGTTTATCGACGGGGGGCATTCTGCTTTTCATAGATTTGCCAACCCATCTAGGTACCCTTTTTTCGAGTTGACACGTTTTAGGATGGTGGCTAGACGATCTTGCTCCAGCTTCACAAGCGTTCACAAGTTTTACCAGAGTGAGATTTGTAAACCGGAACCAGGGAAGCAATTATAATACAAAATGCCCCCCCCCCCGTCGATAAACAGCGCCGCACGGAGGCATTTCGCGGGCCACTTGATCGCGATCCCGGGTAAACGTCTTCAATAACAATGATGATGATTAGTATTAGGTTGGCTAATAAGTAATGGCCGTTTTTTCAATTGAAAAATTTGTTCGAAAAGTGAAACGTTTTGCAAGCAAGTTATATATCATCTGATAGGAAACTTCTCGTAGTATAAGAATATCAAAAAAGCTTTGGTTGAGGATATAGTTTTTGTGAATTTTTTAGTCGTTGAAGTTGGAAGTGAAGTCGGCGAAAATTAGCATCTTCGACAACTGCCTCTATTTACGTCTACTCGAAGTGCTAAAATCGCTTAAGCTGCTCCATACATTCGGAAAAGGTTGAGGTAGAAGTCTCAGCAAGGGAATCTCAATAGGACGCTTTGGAACTAATTTCAAGAATTTCAAAGTTGGCAACCTTCACCTTGCCAATATTGGGCAGGCTCACGTCTGTTCCACCTGAAATTTCATGCTAATAGTTGAATTAATTGAATTTTTGATATTCTAATACTACGAGAAGTTTGCTATTAAACGATATTAAGCTTGCTTGCAAAACGTTTTACTTTTGGAACAAATTTTTCGATTGAAAAAACGGCCATTACTTATTAGCCAGCCCACTGCTAGTGGGCTGGCTAATAACTGCTAGTGGGCTGGCTAATAAGTAATGGCCGTTTTTTTCAATTGAAAAATTTGTTTCAAAAGTGAAAAGTTTTGCAAGCAAGCTTAACATCGTTTAATAGCAAACTTCTCGTAGTATTAGAATATCAAATTCAAATTCAATTAATTCAACTATTAGCATGAAATTTCTAAATAGAGGCAGTTGTCGAAGATGCTAATTTTCGCCGACTTCACTTCCAACTTCAACGACTAAAAAATTCACAAAAACTATATCCTCAACCAAAGCTTTTTTGATATTCTTATACTACGAGAAGTTTCCTATCAGATGATATATAACTTGCTTGCAAAACTTTTCACTTTTCGAACAAATTTTTCAATTGAAAAAAACGGCCATTACTTATTAGCCAACCTAATAGTACAACTACAGTTCGTGAAACTTTGAGGGGGGGGGTCGCTCTGCTTTTTTTTCAACATTCTGCGGGACTCAGAGGAGTGGTAGTTCGTGTTTCGCACACAGATTAGAGGGAGATTGACTCTCAGACTCAACTTACAGGAAACGCTCAAAGTAACTTGTGTAGTTGAAATCTAAACATTGCGGAAATGACATTAT